CTGTGGAGGGCAGCGTCACTGGCCCTCATATGTGGGATCCGAACCGGGGCCCTCTGGCGTCCCAAGCCAGTTCTTAACCATCGCGCCACTCGGCCAGCCCGATTCAAATGTGTTTTGAACTGAGAGGTTTCAGAATGTTTAACAATTTAGAAAGTTTCCATCACAACAATTTTAAAAGCTTTTTTCCTTGGAAGTGATTTGATAACACTCTTAAATTTCACACACTCTCAGCTCTTTGTTCTTGAGCATGCTGGGTAAGTTGCTCTTATATCAATCTTTATTATTATGTGTTCTTCAGTACTTCTCTGGGAGAATAAAATGAAAAAAGATTTTTGTATTTTCAGTGTAGGGAAAAAAAATAATGTTTTTGTCATCTTTTGAGGATTATTTTATTTCCATTTCATAACCTTTTCTTTCTTTCTTTCTTTTTTTTGTATTTTTAAAACATTACCCACCAAAAGAAACAATGTGTTGCTATTTCACACTTGAACCATAGAGAGGGTTGCAAGATTATTCAAACATCAATTTTACCAACATACAAAAGAGCCATTTTTTTATAGCCTTAGTCCTCTCCTTATTGGAGTCATAGTAATGTTGAATCTTTCTGGTGGCAGTCTGTGTGAGAGTTTTCTTTTTTTAATGTAGGTTAGCCTAACCTCTAGTTCTTTATTTAGGCCATCCCTGTTTATAACAAAAGTTTTATGTATAGACTTAGTACAGGAATAGATTCCTGTTATGATGTTTAATTATCATTTAGCAACCCTTGCTGAGTCTGTGCTTGGCCTTGGGCTAATATTAAGAGAGAGTTGAGACATGGTTTTTGTTCATGGGAAACTCAAGATGAAATTGGCAGATAAACAGAATTTATTATTCTGTAGGACAGTGCTGTCATAGCAGTATAAGTAAATTGCTGTGGGGTTCATGTAGAGGGAGCTTTTATATCCTATTACTCATAATATTTATTTAATGAGAGATTGCTCAAAATTTAAACCCCAATTCAAGATTCTGATGTAATTTTACATGTATTTATTGGAAAGTTACTTAGGCTTTTCTATAATGCTATGAATAAATATATATTTTATCATTCTATTAGAAGAGAAACTTCAGAAATTTAACCTGCTGCTTGCTTATGTTTTAATAGCACCCGTACTACAGATGTGCAGTGTTGACCACAGTTTCATTGGTCATTCAAAGATAATACTCTTGAGAAAGTCTCACTGCTGTCTTTTTAGTGTGTACTGTCTGGGCAGTATCTGCTCTGAATGGTGACTTGAGGGAGTCATCTCTACCCTCTGATGCATGAGTATCCTTGACTAAAACTAGGTGTCTGCTGCAGATAACTATCAGATGGTCAGTAGATTTCTAAACTAGCTGTGAAATCCTAGAAAAAATGGAATGGTAGTTAAAATATTGGTTGGCAAGACTGGAAGGAGGATTTGCAGGCTTCCAAATTAGTCTTGCTTCTTGTGACTCTTCAGAAACATTTTACACGTTACTGTAATTTTTTTCACTGTACATGTAGTTTGACTATATGACAAAGGTTTTTTTTTTGCTTTAATGAGTATTAGTTTTTTTAAGTACAGATAGTAGCACTAAATAGATTAAAATCCTATCATTTATCCATTAATATGCTTTAACATAGATACTTGTTTTTTCTTAACCATAGCTGAAATATGTCATATTGTGATTATGGAAAGTTTTGATTTTAAGCTGCTATCTGGAGGGGTTGGGAATATAGGGTTGGAAATTTAGAGCATGAAACTCTTTGGGGGACAGGAAAGCAGTCCTAGGTAGTTGACTTTTGAAGCGATTTTTTACTTAGGAGCAGGAAATACGGGAATGTGAGATGGACAAGGGAAGGGAGAAGAGCAGCGCCTAACACATACTTCGCCTGTTTTGCTGGGGTCTGACCTAGGCAAGAAAGGGGAAGGACAGTGTTAGCTTCTGCCTTCTGCATAGTGTGACTCATGATCAGCTTTGTATTTGAGCAAGATTATTATAATAAACATGCTTTAGTAGGTTAACTGTGATGTGTAGTTGTTTCTTTAGAAAAGTACAGTTTAAGTTTAGACAACTGACTTACAGATAAATGACTTTTCAGAACCTTATTTTATTATAATTTATGAACTGCACATATAAATGTGTAAATGGTGAATACTGGGAGCTCTGAGTCCGTTTTGAATTTTGGCCTTACACTATAATCAGACTTAAAATTATAGAATTTGTAATTATAGATTCAAGGCTTGGTTGATACTCTTTTACTGTTTGGATTATTTTTCATGTGCAGCTATTCTTTTAAGGTTTCAGGTTCGTTCACCAACTTTCTTTCAAAAATGCCGGGACCAGCACTGGTACATTACTCAATTGGAAGCCGCACAGACTAGCTATGTTCAACAAATAAATAACCTTAAAGAGGTAAGCAAAAAAACATAATCTTTGGATTTAGTGTTTCATATTGTCTTATTGACCTGTTAACACTTGTAATTAGATTTGGATATTTATTGCTGTTCATAGTTTTGTAGAAAAATCCAATTCTCTTGTTCTCTATCCTCCCCACCTTTGAACCTCTAATAAATTCACTGTTCAGTTCAGTAGCCACTAGTCACGTATGGCTATGTAAACTGAAGTTCCTTCAGTTGCACTAGCCACATTTTAAATGCTTGTATTGGGCATCACAAATATGGAACCTTTCCATCATTGCCTAACATGGTGTTGGACACTGCTGCTCTACTTTGAGGTATAACCTTTTGTGTTTCTCCCAGTGACATGGGTATTTCTCTTCCCCATGCTGTCTTGAATTTAGAGGATACAAAGCTGTAGAACAACTGGAAATTGCCTCACCTTGAATTCTCACTGTTGTTGGATTGGGCACTGGGGAAGATCAGTTAATGAATTTTTATTTTACAATGATAAACTAAATTATGTAAGGAATGTTTCCTTCCTGCCAATGGAAATTGGGATGGGGTGGGAGGTTTAAGTGCTCAGAGTGGCTAATAGACAAGGGAGGAAAATATGTATAAATACATACTTTCAGAGATTTTCATATTAAGTGTACTAAAAACTGTCTCTATTTAATATGTAGGTTGCTAATTCTATGTGTACTTGGTCTGGGTTTGAGAAGAAGGATGTTAATAAATTGGGTAATTTTTCTTTGTCAAAAGATTTTTCCATAAGCAAAAGGCAGGAGGTGGTGAGAGAGATGGTTCAAGAAATGGTTTTAGTAACATCTGGATATATTTTTTACTTGAAATATTTTTTTACTCTACCACAGAAATACTGCTTATGACGCATGTTTTTTTATGCTGTTTTTGTTTTCAAAGAGACTTACTATCGAGTTGTCTCGAACGCAGAAATCAAGAGATTTGTCACCACCAGATAATCATCTTAGCCCCCAAAATGATGACACTCCAGAGACACGAGCTAAGAAGCCTGGGTCATGCGCAGACATGCTTCTCCAGGATGGCCCTACTGCAGCTTCTGTAAGAGAGGCCAAAGAGGATGAAGAAGATGAGGAGAAGATTCAGAACGAAGATTATCATGTAATAATTAGACCTGTTTTGGATTTATTTTGTGTGGGATAAGAGAGGTGAATAAGATCATGGTTTCCAACATAAGATGTAGGGGAATCATGTGCTGAAAATCTTGTGCATTTATTTTCATTACTAGTAGTATATGCCTTTCTGTAAATGTTAATAAGTCAGAAGTTGTGGAATCAAAGTGTTTCAAGGTTCTAAAAATTAATTTATTGTAGAAAACTATAGTCTACAAAATAAAATGATGAACATTCTAGAAACTATGTAGGTTGTAGATTTTTAAAATGTGTTCTATTTCCATTCATTGAAACTAGTAAGTACCTTATCATTGCATATGTAGATAGAATGATTTAGGATTTGGGATATTTTGTCCCAGGTTTTGTCCCAGCTAAATAACAACCAGATTGAGAATTCAAGAAGTGGTTGTTATTGTTTATCGTAAGACAGGGATGTCAGAGACAAGCATTTTTTGTTATAGTTGTTATTTTTAAGATGGGAGACTACAGGTATACATTAAAATGGAGAAGCCATCGGAAGAGAGAGAGAGAGAGAGAGAGAGAGAGAGAGAGAGATTGAAGATAAGTTTCAGGTATTGACAAAACAGTATTTAAGGAGATTAATGTTGGAACATTCAAGTGAAGCAGATAACCTTTGATAGGATGAGTTAAAGGAAGGGTGGAATTTACAGGTAGGGCAGCTGAAAGTTAGGTGGATTTATGTTTAATACCCAGTATGTTTTTCTGTGCAGATAGGTGACAGGATTGTACAGTGACCGTGAGGGTAATAGAGGTTAGGGTAGGACTTGAGGAATGATAGTTTGAAATGTTACTCTCGAAGGAGCCTTACTGGAAGCTGGCATGGAATATATGAAGCATTTCCAGGTACACTAAGGGCCCAGCTGAAATAGGCAGCAATAAATTATTAGTGGTACTAGGTAATGTGATTGTGTGATTTTTCTCTAGGGCTCAGCAGCACAGGAGCAGAGAATTGTGATGACGTTATTTTTTGGTGCTTGGTCCATACTGAATTCTCTGTTGAGATAAAAATCTCCTTTCTTTGCCTTCTTCTAGCATGAGCTTTCAGATGGAGAGCTGGATCTGGATCTTACTGGTGAAGATGAAGTGAATCACCTCGATGGCAGCAGTTCCTCTGCCAGTTCTACAGCAACAAGTAACACGGAAGAAAATGACATCGATGAAGAAACTATGTGAGTGTCTCACGTTAACTACCATCATAAAGCATCTAAGTGATAATTACTAGAAGCATGTTAACTAACTTAGGCCTAAAAGTGGGGATATTTAGCATTTTTTTCTTGATATATAGAGTATCTTATGTAAATGATCTTGAAGGAAAGACTTGAATTAGTTTCTTCTTTTTCATCTCTGGGTTCCCAACAATTCTAGTTTTTGTTTTAACTTTTAATTTTGCATTAAATTCATATTTAAGAAAAGTTGCAAAAACATTAAGAATTCCCATATTAAAAAAACTGCCCAGATTCTTTCCCCAAGTATTACTATTTTGCTTTGTTAATGTTTCTCTTTCCCTCTCTCTCTTTCTCTCTCTTTCTCTAATTTTTTTTTGTGAGACGTTTAGATTAGATGTACACTTCTCATTATGTACTTCCCTAAAAACATGTATGTTTCTTATGTAATTACAGTACAGTTGTCAAAATCAGGAAACTAACATTGATGTAATACTCTTTAAAACTTTTTAAACTTTTAAAAGTAAAACTTTTTAAACTTTTAAAAGTAAAACTTTTAAAACTTTTGTCAGTGATGTCCTTTGAGCTGGGATCCAGTGCAGGATCACATGTTGCTTTTAATCTCTTTAGTCTGCCTCAATCTGGGTCACTTAGTCATTTTTGTTTTCTCATGGCTTTGACACTTGAGAAATATAGGGTAGTTATTTTGTAGAAAGTCGCTCAGTTTGCAGTAGTCTGATGTTTTCTACGATTAGGTTGAGGTTATGCACTTTTGGCAGGAATACTACGGAAGTGATGGTGTAGCCTTTTCCGTGCATCCTGTGAAGGACAGGTGGAGGGCACATGTCTTTAATCTGTCCCATTTTGGTGATTAATTTAGAGCAGTTGGTTAAGATGACTTTAAAATTATGATTTTTCACCCTTTGTAGTCAGTAAATATCTTGTGGGAACATATTTTGAGACTGTAAATATTTTTTTCTCAATGTACTTTTGTCCATTAATTTTAGCATCAATTGATGATTTTTGCTTGAAAAGGATTACTGTGTCGATTGCCAAATGATCTTCTAATTCCGTTATTTGTTCAGCATTTATTAATAGGAATTCTACTTTGAGGAAGAGCTTTCCCCTCTGTCCATTAATTTTATTAATATGGACTCATGGATTCTTTTTTTTTTTTTTAAGCTTTTATTGGGGAATTGGGAGAGGGGAACAGTGTTGGGGAATTGGGGAAGGGGAACAGACAAGTTGCTTTCCTTTTGTTCTTCAGTCTAGCTGTGGAGGACGTTGGTTCACTGGCCCATGTTGGTATTATCATTATGCTCTTTCTGGGTGAGGCAGATCAGTTGCCGGGCCCTGGATGGCCGCTCATGGCGGCTCCTTGACAGCTCTCACTGGCTGCCGGCTGCTCACGCTGGCTGCCGGCCACACGTGGTAGCTTTTTACAGCAGCCCACTGCAGCTCCACTGTGGCCTATGCCTTAGCTGGCGACTCTCAGCAGCCCAGCTCCAGGTCGAGCTATTGTTCACCATCTTAGCTGTAGAGGGCGCAGCGTCACTGACCCTCATATGTGGGATCTGAACCGGGGCCCCGCTGCTCAGAGCTGGCATCCCAAGCCAACTTTTAACCAATGCACCACTCGGCTGGCCCATGAATTCTTATATTATTAAATAGTTTAATCCATTTACTATCATTTATTGCTGTCATTATTCAAGATTTGGCCAGTGGGAGCCTATCAGAGAGCTAACTCCTGTGTCCTTTTGAGATGTCCTCATCATTTTTTAAGCACTTTTTTATTTTCTAGCACTATAAGATATTCCAGGTCCATCTTGTACTTTCCCTGTCCCAGCCCTGGCTTCAGCCATTTCACAAGATAAGATGAGAGTTTTAACCCCCTATTTGACTTCGCCTCTATTCCTACAAATTAGCTTTTCAAAACAGACTATTTTGAATAGACTACTTAATGTTTCCCCATAGCATGTATGGCAGATTGTCCAAAAGGGTTAATTAGTTGAAGTGCGAAGTCTAAGTACCTTTAAGTTCTCAAATCAGAAATTATTACGGTGATACTTTTAAACATATAAAATAGAACTCAGCAAAATCAACATGGAATATTCTTTTAGATGGTGATTCTGTATAATGGAACCCGGGTTACCTTGCTAATAATAAGTAGATTAAATATGCAGTTCTAGCTGAACTAATTTTTTTGACTGTTATGTCTCTTGACTTTTCTTAAGGTTGTTTTGAGAGCAGTTGGATTTTACAAGAAACTTGATTCACAGCCTTTCATTAGATTGACTTTTTAATCCTTTTTCTGGTAGAAGGTCTATATACATACATCTATAATAATGTCTGGATTCAAACTATTTTGTATTATTCATAGAAATAGCAGGGTTAATTATGAGCTAATTTGAGCACTTAGGGAATCACAAAGTGTTAGATCTTAGAAATGAAGGTCAATTCTTTCCTTTCTAGATGAGGAAAAATAGGCATACAGTTTGAATAATGATTATTATAAACAGCTTTTAAATAATTAGGACACATTTATCAAGTAGGCCTTTTTTTCCTTCTCTCTCCTCTTCTTACACCTTCTCCCTCCTCAGTCTTTCTGCAACAGTACTATATATTTTCTTCCTGCTATTTTTTTCTTTTGAGATAATTGTAAATTCACATAGAGTTTTAAGAAATAATAGAGATTTCATATACCTTTACCCAGCTTTCCTCCATGGTAAGTAACATTCTGTAAAACCATAGTACAATATCACAACCAGGCTATTGATGTTGCATAGCGAACATTTGGAACCTTTCCATCATCGTAAAGATCCCTCCATGTTGCCCTTTTATACCACACCCGCTTTGCCCCACCTCGGCAACCCCCAACTTCCCCCTCCCACCCTGCAACAGTCATGTGTTCTGTGTTCCCCGTTTCTATAATTTTGTCATTTAAAGAATATTATATAAATGGAATCATATAGCAACTAACCTTTAGGGATTGCTCTTTTAACTCTGCTTAGTTCTCTGGAGACTCATTCAAGTTATTATGTGTATTGATCGGTTTCTTTTAATGCTGAGTAGTATTCTGTATTTTGGTTGTACCACACTAGTTGTTCAACCATTCACCATTTAAAGGCCATCTGGATACTGTTTCCAGTTTGTGGTTATTATGAATAAAGCTACTATAAACATTCGTGTACAGAGTTTTGTGTGGATGTAAGTCTCCATCTCTCTGCATAAAGGCAGTTACTGGATTGTATGGCAATTGAATGTTTAGATTTTGAAGAAACTGCCAAATAGTTTTCCAGAGTGTCCACTATTTTGCATTCCTGTGAACAATGTATGACTGATCTAGTTTTTCTGAATCCTCACCAGCATTTAATGTTGTTACTAGTTTTTATTTTAGCTAGTCTGATAGGTGTGTAGTGATACCTAATTGTGGTTTTAATTTGCATTCCTCTAATGGGTAATGGTATTAAACATTTTTTCATCTGCTTAATTTGCCATCTATACCGGGGGTACCAAAAAAATGTATACAAGTGGACACTTTGGTCAACGTTGCTCAAGCAATAGTTTGCCGTAATCAGAAGTGTCCGGACGCTGATGGTAACCACTTTGCGTACCTCTTATGATTGCAGAAGTCAAATGACTTGTATTCATCTTTTGTTATCGGTATATATTGAGTATTAGAGTTTTAATAGTTTTTTTCTTAAAATGTGTGTAAAAATTTTTGGCACCCTCTATATCGTCAGTGAAAGTTCTCTTCATGTCGTTTGTCTGTTTTCTAATATTTTTAAAAATATTTATAATATTTCTAATATTTGAATATTTTTAACTTGAGTTTTTAAAAAAATTATGTTAAAATATACATAACATAAAATTTACAATTTTGACTATATAAGTGCAGTTTAGTGCCATTAATTATGTTCACATTGTTATGACCGTCATCACCATATATCCTCAGAGCTTTTTATCGTATTCCCAGACTGAAACTCTACCATTAAACAATAATTTCTCTTCCCCTCTTTCCTTCATCCCCTGACAACTACTGTTGAGTTTTGAGAGTTCTTTATGCATTTTAGATACTAATCCTTGCAAATACTTTTTCCCACTGTGTAGCTTCCTTTCATCTTCTTAGTATGGTGTTTTGCCAAGAAAAGTTTTTTCTCTTTCAGCAATGTTTTGTAGTTTTCAGAGTATACATTTCACACTTTTATTAAGTTCATGCCTAAGTATTTTATTCTTTTTCATGCATGGAATTGATTTTTCTTTTTTAATTTCCTTTTTGGTTTGTTCTTTGCAAATATATGGAAATACAGTTGATTTTTGTCTATTATTTTTGTACCCTGCAACTTTGCTAACACGTTTATTAGTTCTAATAGCTTTTAATGTAGTCTTTTTTTTTTCCCCCTGCAGCATCACGTTTTAATTTTTAGGGGGGAGAATAGGAGGAGGGAGGGGAGGAAAACAGTCCCACTTGTGTCTCCACAGTGTATGAGACTGATACTATAAGGATGGGAAGCGATAGCCAGGCAGATTAGATGGAAGGTCCCCGAGATTCTTTTTTCTACTGGTTTCTATTCTCTAATGAAATTGGTAAGACATATATGTAATTGCCTAGCACATGGTATTCAATAAATGTCAGTTGCCTTTTCTAGCAGAGTTAGCCACAAGCTAGGATCTGCCCAGACGTCGTCGTCCTCCTCCTTTCAAGGAGTGAAGATCACCGAAAAAACCAGGAAACTAAAAGTGCAGCAGTTTGGGTAATACAGTTGCCTAGCTGGCTCATTGTGGGCCTGCCTGTCTCCCCATCCTCCCCACCCCACTATGCCAGGGTGGGTCTGAGAGTACCGTTTCTCAAGTGGCTTCCCTGAAGCTTAGCCAGCATGTCCTAGAAGATTCCATGCTAAGGGCCATGGTTGCAACTCTCTAGTGCGCAGTCCTTTCTTCTTGGTGATGATAATTGTAAGGAAACAAGCAGACAGCTGATTTCATGGGCTGTCTTCAGGATCTCAGCAGCCTTGCTATGCTCAATATCTTGGAAATCTACATCATTCACAGCTAGGACTTAGTCCCCTTCCTGAAGTCCTGCTCCATGTGCATCAGTCAGGAATCACCTTGGAGGTGAAGATGTCTAGCTGGGAGGCCTTTCCTCCTTGGATGTTAAATCCCAACTGAGCTCCAGGGGGCTTCTTCAGGGCAGAAACTGGGTCAGCTCATTGCCGTAGTCTGGGTGGTATACCCTCTCATGAGGAGGAACCCACGCTGGGGGGTGGTTCTCAGAGGCAGGCAGGAAAACCAGTGGGTAGCCGTCATAAGGAATCCGGCTGTCCGTCTCAGGCAGGTCTCAGCGACCTGCGCCTCCTTCACAGCCAGTTCAGCCTGGGAACTGCAAGCAGATGTGCAGATGGGTTGAAAAGGCTAGTGGATTCTTTAAGTTTTTGTATGTATCCAGGATATTATCTGCAAATTGACATAGTTTTACTTCTTCTATTCCAATCTGGATGCCTTTTACTTATTTTTCTTGCCTGAGTTCACAGGCCAGAATGTCCAGTAGAATGTTGAATAGAATTGGTGGGAGTGGACATCGTTGTCTTGTTCCTGATCTTAGAGGGAGAGCATTCAGTCTTTCACCCGTAATTATGTTAGCTATGGTTTTTCCATAGATGCTCTTTATTAGGTTGAAGAAGTTCCTTTCTATTCCTAGTTTGTTGAGTGCTTTTATTACGAGAGGGTGTTGGGTTTCGTCAGATTCTCTTTCTGCATCTATTCAGATGATCATGTGGTTTTTATGTTTTATTCTGTTGATATGATGTATTACATTAATTGATTTTTGGATTTTAAACCAACTTTGCATTCCTGGAGAACTACCTATTTTAAGAAAATAGTATTTCATCATGTGATGTAATTTGAGCATCTTTCTTTTTTAACCTTAAAATGTAGTGTTTTAAGCCCAATTTACTACCATTAAGTCATAGATTCTTTGAAGCTATAATCTATTCTGCTTACAATGGTTCTTAGGTTTTCTAATTTAAAAATTAAATGTTGCCAGCCTATGGTGGCATTTTTTAAAGGTAGTTTGAACATTAACACTACCTGTACATGTGATAATGACAAAAGTCTTTTTCTTTATTTTTGTATTTAGAAATGTCCTGTCTTCGCAGGAAAAAGCTATGCACCATTGCTATAAAATTTACTGAGGTGTGACAAATAATGTTAATTGTACTGACCCGGTGGAAATAATGAGTTTGGTATATTCTTAGGTCTGGAGAAAATGATGTGGAATACAACAACATGGAATTGGAAGAGGGAGAGCTCATGGAAGATGCAGCTGCTGCAAGACCCCCAGGTACAGAGAGGCCAAGCCCCACAAGCCCCTCTGCTTGTCTGTGCTCTTTTCTGACTGTATCATATTGTAGTATGTGGCAGCCACTGCTCTCTATGACTTGGTGTTGGAAGTGCTGTGTTTTATATATGGAGTTTAGAGTATATCACTAATGGTATTTAAAACAATAATAATAGCTAACATTTGGTAAGTGCTCTTATGTACCAGGCATTGTGCAAAAGCACTTTGTAAACCTTGTATTATTATAGAATTCTGTGAGATAGGTTTTAATATTATTTACTTTTTATAGCTATAGAAACTGATGTGTAGAGAAATTAAGCAAATTTGGTAAACAAAAGAGAGGAATTAAAGTTCCAGATTTGTCTGAGTCCAATGCTCCTGGTCTTATCTGCTATTGTATACTGTCTTTTTATGATATATGTCTTGCTTGTGTATTTATTTAGCTTGACGGTGGAATAATCTGAATAGACTCATTGAGTCTTTGACTTAAAAAGGACCTTTTGAGAGCTCATTTTATACGTGGAGAAAACTTGGAGATTTACAATATTTGCCCAGATCACATAGGTAGCTTCTGGCACAGCCAGGCTAGAACCTCACATCGTCATTTTCTTGGAACCAATTTTCTGCCAAACACCTTGCTCCTGGGAAGAACTGACTTAGATAATGGGTGTTTCTTTTGTGTTTTGGACTTGTTTTAATGTGGGAATCTTTGTTAGAACAATTATAAGCCAGTTCTGTGCAACTTCTACTTGACTCATGCTGCCTGTGGTATGAACACTGGCATGTTCTGTAGCATGCTTGGATAACTGAAGTGCCCTTAAATACCAGTCCTCAGCATTTCAACTTCCCACCTATGCCCTGTACTCTTTCTGCTTTTCACTTTGTACCCAGGTAATCTCAGTGACATCTGTGTATCAGTTCTATCTGTATGCTGATCACTCTTCAAGTTCTGTTTCTCGCCTTTATTTTTGTCACATCTTCCAGACCCATGTAGCAGTCTGGTGTTGATGTCTCAGACTCAGCTTCTCCCAAACAGCAATCATTATCTTTTCATCTGCCAGCCTGCCTGTATAGCCACCATCCTAGTAATTGATAGTGCTCTACAGCCTTTACCGTTTCCTCTCCCTCAGGCTCTGCCCAAACCTGTGATTCTGCCACTTAAACAGTGCCTGAGTTCAGTTGTTACTCCCCATTCCTAGTCTAGGCCACTGTCTTTCAAAACAGCCTTTCATCTATCTGGGTTCCTTATATCCATTATTGCTCCTCTTTGCTGCATCCAGCGCGGCTAGTCGAAGGGCCAGAGTGGGGGCGACGGAGGATTAAGAAAAGACAGACAAAGGAGGATTAAAAAAAGACAGACAAAGAAATACTTGAATGCGGGGGCTAGGTGGACAGCTGCTCCTGATGGGAGGACAGTGACCCAGTCTAGCAGCCATGGTTTACTTACATAGCCTTGCTTATGCCAAGGCAAGGAAGGGGAGGAAATGGCCTTGGGCAGAAAATGTTCCATGTGTCAGCTGCAGGATATTGGCAACCAATGTTGCAACAAATGTATGGGACCCAGGATGTTTTATCACCAGTGTTTGGAAACCACCTCCCTATGCTGAAATGTCGTGTCAGCCTTGCAAAAATACAGCCAGTGTGCCTTGCACCAACCTCTCCTTTACAGCCCTGGAAGGTGCTCTTGGTCTCCAGCACCCCTTCATTCTGTTTCACATGGCATGAGTTCAGAATGAGTTTGTTTTTCCCTTTACTATCTGATCATGTCACTTTTCTACTTAAAAACCCTCTAGTGCAGCAGTTCTCAACCTGTGGGTCGTGACCCCTTTGGGGGTCGAACGACCCTTTCACAGGGGTCATCTAAGACCATCGGAAAACAAAAAGATATTTACATTACAATTCATAACAGTAGCAAAATTACAGTTATAGAGTAGCAATGAAAATAATTTGATGGTTGGGGGTCACCACAACATGAGGAACTGTATTAAGGGGTCACGGCATTAGGAAGGCTGAGAACCGCTGCTCTAGTGGATTCCATTTGCTTATAGGATAAAGTCCAAATTCATTAATATGGTATGAGGACCTTCATGTGCTGGCGCCTGCTTATTTCTTTAGCCTTAGCTGCCTCACACTCTGCTGCTTCATTTTTCAGCCCCTCACATGTGCCATGGTATCTCTCACATCTTTGCTTCTCAACATGTTCCTTCTGCCTGCTCCTCACTTTCAGCATAGTTAACGCCGGTTGCTTTTTTTTTTTAGCTTTTATTTCATTTCTTCCTGGAAGCCCTCCTAGACTGCTGTCCTGGGTATCTTTTCTGCTCTTTCAAATTAACCTGTTAGAACCTATAGAGCCTATTTAACCTATACTAAACATTACTCTAATTGCTTGTTTTGCTGGCTGTTTTCCCTTTCATCTCTCAGCTCCATGAAGCCAAGATAATGTGAGTCTTAATTTTGTATCCCTAGCACTTAACAGTATAATAGGGATCATTTAATATTTTTCAGATAAATGTTAAGCAAATATACTTTATAATTAAGTTGTCAGTGTTATTTTCAAGGTTTTAAATAATATAGAAAAATTCAGAGGCTATCTTGGTATAAAATGGAAGATGATTATACTGAGTCAAGGTTATTGAATATTTTTCAGCTTTTTTTACAGTTAAATCTGATTCCCTCTCTTCAACTATTATAAGGAAATTCTTGTATGGAACATTTTTACACACACTGGGTACACAAGAGGTTACATTTTTCAATTCGTTAATTCATCTACCAGATATTTACTGAGCAGTTAACTGGAACTGTTTTACTATCTGGAGCTACAATATTGAATAAAAAGATGTCCCTGTTCTCATGGACCATGTTCTGTAATTCTGAAATTATATGATTTATTCATTCAATAAATATTTTTTTGAGTACCTGTTAAATTCAGGCACTGTATTCTAGGTGCTGAGGATACAATAGTGAATTCAAACAGTTAATTTTTATCGTGTGCTTTTGGGAATTTTATATATTTGTCAGACATTTGTTAAGTGTTTTCCTAATTTCAAGAGTTCTGGCAAATCCAATGAAGAAGAGTTACTCTTAAGTAATTTATAATCTAAAGGTGAATAGATGTGTGAATAATTAGCTAACATATAAGATAGTACACATACAGAATTTCAAATAATTTCTTTAGATAATGCCTCCTCAAGGAGGTGGAGTGTAACTCCCCACCCTCAAATGTAGGCTACGCTTAGTGACTTGCCTCCAAATAGTATAGTGTAGAAAGTGGGAGGGAAATTACTACAGAAACCTGGCAAACGGTACCTCGGCCAGGTTATCAAATTTAGCATCATCAGAGTTGTCATATTGATAGCATGTACCCTTGACTTAATGTGTTGAGAATGGCACCTTATATCTGTGGTATCATCGTCCCCAAAACCCAGAAGCACAATCTAACCATGAGAAAAACTCCACTTAAACCCCACTTGATGGACAGTCTACAAAATACTTGACTAGTACTCCTGAAAACTGTCAATGTCATCAAAAACGAGAAAAGTGTGAGACACTGTCACAGACCAGTGGAGCCTAAGGAGAAATGATGAACTAGATGTAATTTGATATTTTGGATGGGACCCTGGAACAC